TTCCAGGAACAGAGGATCCTAGGACCATCAAGAGAGAAGAGCATGAGCTGAACGTGGGACCCTAACTAGAGAAGCAACAACACCAGAAATGGAGGCAAAGGTGGTGGCACAGAGAGATTGAGCAGCTGAGGACTCTAGACTCATGGAAAGAGAAAGGCTGTGTGCTGGTGGCCAGGAGATTAGCTTCCAGAATGTGCCCTTTGGTTGTTTAAACGATTATATATCCCTGTATGATTAAAAAAAAGACTGCCTTTCTTGAGGCAAAAAAAAAAACAAAAAAACACACACAACAACTATGTGCAAATGAATTTTAACTATGAAAAATTAGAAAATAAAGAAAAATTAAAGTGCATTTTCTCACTCACACCCCCCCCCGAAAAAGAACAGAAATAAACTCCTGAATAGATTAAAATGTGACATTGGGTTTTTATATTAGAATATTATGAGTGCTTTAAGATTCTAGTTTTCTAGGTATAAGAAATCATTTTAATCCTAAATTGTCTGACTAATGTGTTGAGATTTACAACTCTCAGATTAAAACTTGTATTAATCAGCTAAACAATATTGTAATAGCCATGACTAGGAAAAGGGCTGACGTTCAAACTGATTTTATGGGGTCAAACGACAGAAAGTTTTCTTGCTAAACATCTCCAGAAAACAGCTTTATGTTTTAAATAGGTATTTATGTGATAATGTTCACACACACAACCTGAGGTTTACATTCAACAAATCAAATACTTCATTTCATCTCAATGATTGCAATCCCCTCCATGTAACATCACTTATCCTACTTTCTCCCTGTAATTCTCACTTCCACTCTACCCTCTTTCTCAACCCTTCTGAATGCTGTCCCTAGGCAAATGCTGCCCTTTTGATCATGAATGGTTGACCATTCCATGGTGAGTATACCTTACTAGCATTGTTGTCTCCCCTATATACTGGACCACCGCCTGGCTGAAAATTCAACTATGAGAGCAATTTCAGTTCAGTCCCTAAGGACCATAGTCTTGGGTTCCTCCTGTCTCATTCTGATCAGTAAGCCCTGTCTTTTTTTTTTTTTTTTAAATAATAATTTTGAATTTTGCTCCACATTTTCTGGCACTCTAGCCAGAATTTTCTAATGTGATCCCTTTCTGAGCAGTTGGTAATGGTAGCTGGGCACCATCTAGTTCTTCTGGTCTTAAGAGTCATGGTGACTGATGTTCACCTGCTCCACTGGTCTACTGGACTAGTTGAGTCCAAGCATCTTCAATTTTCATCAATCTTCTTTCTTCTACACATGATGAGACCAATAGTTGTGTCTTAGATGGCCAATCTGAGCTTTGAAGATTCCAGAGACTACTTACCAAAGCAGGATGTAGAACATTTGTGGACTCTGTTATGCCAACTGACCATGGTGTCCCTTGTGACTATGGTCCTGAACTTCCAGATCCAGGAACTCAATGCCTTAAGATGTTTGACAATATCAAAGAAGTTTTCTTCATTGTTCCCCTTGTATGCTCCACCACGTCATGGACTCCTGGTGTGGTGCTGTAGAATGAGCACTGGTCTGTGAACCACAAGGTCAGCAGTTCAAACCCATCAGCTGTTCCTCGGAAACCCTATACAGGGTTGCTATGAGTCAGAACTGACTTGATGACACTTAGCAATAACAAAAACAATATACTCTACCACATTCATAGGTGTTTGCAGCAAA